AAAGAAAAATTAATTGCCTTTCCCCGGCAACGGCGCCAAATTTGACGAGCACTTTGTCACGGTGCGTCAAAATAATTTTCAATACTAACACTTATACGTAGTATAGCGTAGTAGAGTTCGTATCCACAGGGAAAAGAATAATTCTCTTTTTCTGATACTTAGTAAATAAAAAGGGGGGATTTGGATTGAGTGATTTAATTTAATTAAAAACTAAGATGAACAACCTAAACGTGCTTAATTCAAGAATAAAAGGGACTTGGCTTTGCTACTTTCCACTTGTTGATATATTTTAGTCGATCCTTGTTATATCTATAACTTATCCCCTCTCGAATACTCAATCGAGGAGTATCTCCCATTCATCGAGGGTAGTTATTAACAATGACCGTTCATTAATAACCCTTACTATTAATCAAATATAGAACAACGCCTTATACCGATATAATAGTAGCATTCAATCTTTCTAACTCCTTGATGAAATCAATTGAGATTGATAACCTCAACACAACGGTTTCGGTTTAACCAACAAAATTGATCCCTCTTAAATCTATTAACCACGACCGTGCATTAATAAACCGAAGTTACTTACTTGTGAAACCACCAACGATTAACCATCGGTTCGTTGACCGTTTCTAGTAGTAATTAATGTCGGAACGTTAACTAATAGTCACTTAGCAACCCTCCAACATTAATATAGAATGAGATTAAGGGAAGAATTAATATTCAAGGAAAGAAGTTAAGAAAATAACTCACAACTTTAATAATCAACAAGCTTCAAGAGCAACACCAAGAATGGAAGTTTAGCTCCTCATTTGGAGACTAAACATAGCTAGAAAAATATAAAGAAATGCTATTCTAAACTCAGCTTAAGAGTATGGAAGAAGGGATGATGAAATATGAAGGAAAATGGGGCTATTTATAGGTGTTTTCAACACCTAATGCCGGATACCCGGCCGGGTATTTTGACATACCCGACCGGGTATTTACCTAATCGAATATTTTCCCATGTTTTTGAGTCTTCTGCACGTCCTTTGGTCTGAAATCACAGAATACACGACCGGGTATATGGAATACCCGACCGGATATTTGCTAGTTTGCGGCAGTTTCCTTTGTCACTTCATACCCGGCCGGGTAAAATCCATACCCGACCGGGTTTTGCACAAAACTCAGGTTTCTTCATCCTTTTTGCTTCCAAACCTATCCTAAACTTAAAACCAAACTAACTACAACTTACAACAAACAATAAAATGCTAGAAATATGATTACAATCAAATGCAAACTCACAACTATAAACTTGCACAAAACTAGTAAATAAACACTACAAACAATAATAAAAATGTATACTTAGGCACTAACAACTAGTGCCTATCATAGAACAAGTATATTTTAAAACAAAAAATGCACAACATTTCATGACACATAGTCCTATTTGTTCATTTGAAACAGTGATGAGATAATGAGTATCAGTTCAATTTCAATGGCACGCTATGAGTTATAAATAACATACAAACAATTTTCTTGTCACACTATGAATCATAAGCATATTCTTCAATAAATATAGAAAAGTTAAACCACATACCATTCTATTCATAGATGAGTACTGCATACCACAGATTGAGTATACTATGAATTTATAACTAAGCTAATTTAATTAACCTTCTTACACTTCATGACACATAGAGTAATATGAGCATTAACCTTTGTACATTGAACAAAAGCTCAATTAATTTACTTGATAAACTCATATCATGCATCAAAATCATAATATGCTTCAGATTTGTCAAAATCATTTCAATTTTTCTATAATTTTCGAAACATGCAAGTATATTGATAAATCATTACTAAAATTGAAATTTCAACAGTATATTACATCTCTGATGCTTCTGCAGTTTCAGCCTTATCTGCGTTCTTCATCATCTCATACTCGGATAGTCGGTACATCGCTCGCTTCAATGCTCAAACAGAAACAACTTGCTGCTCAAACTCTTCCTCTATTCTTCACTTGTCATTTCTCTCCAACTCTACGAACAACTCCGCGAAGTTGACAAACGCCTGAATGTTGTCCTTGTTTTTCGAGCTTAAATACGGCGTGTATGAATGCTTGCGTCGTTTTCAAAGAAATTTCAGAAGGCAGATCAGTTTTTGAGAGAAGTTACTTTTCCATTTTTGATATGTTTAAATCATAGGCTTTGTTTTTAGTTATTGATTTTACCCAGTAAAAAATGGGGCCAGGTGTGTTATGGGCTAGATTTGTTAATGGGCTTTTATTTTAATTGGACCGGATGTACATACATCCAGATGTAGCATATACGGACTGTGCGGTCATAGTACATGTGGAAAACAAAGAATGGGAAACTCCGTGCTTCAGGTCAAAGGAAAGAGGAAAGGGCTATGGAAAATGGAAAAGGGAAAAGAGAACAAGAATATTTGTATGGGCCTATGAAGGGAAGGGGGCTTCATGTCATCTTCTATTGTAAGCAAAGGTATGGGTGATCAATGATGTGTTCGGATGTTTTTATTTGGACTAGTTTGAGTCACAGGCCAGACATGACCAAATCATACCACATTACAGTAGACTTTGACAGTTGTAGAATACACGTAGAACATACATGTATCAAACCAAACTAGGAGTGGACTCGGGTCGGGCCAACCGGCCCAGAACTGGGTCGGGCCAACCGGCCCGCTACTGTGCGGGCCCGGATCAGCCCGATGAACCGGTTGGTGCCCGATTCAGGCCACCCGGCCCGGTGAGGTATGCGGGCCGGGCCCGGGCCTCCTAAATCGTTAACCGGCCCGAACGGTTCGGGGCCGGTCCGGGCCAAAAAATTTCTTTTTTTTTTTTAATTTTTTTTAAGTTTTTGGGTTGGGCTGGGTATGATGGGCCATTTGAGGTGGTTTGGGTGGTTTGGGTGGTTTGGGGGTGAGAGGGGAGGGTTGGGGGTTAATTAGGAAAAGCCAAAAAAAATATAAGAACCGAGGCCCGGCCCAGCCCGGACTCGGGGGTTCCCCGGGCCGGTTCCCGACCTCCCCTTTCATGAACTGAGGCCCGGTCGGGCCCAGGCCTGAACCGGGCCCGAACCAGAACCGGTCCACCTATTGATGGACTCGGGCCGGGTGGCCCGACCCGGAACCGGCCCGGGACCGGCACTGTTCCGGCCCGGCCCGACCCGGTGGCCCGGTCAGTGACCGATCCGGGTAGGCCCGGCCCGTGGGTTTTCCGGTCCGGGCTCGGGTCACCCAAAACAAGGCCCGACCCGGCCAGGCCCGGGCCCGGTTCGGGCCAAAATTTTTTTTTTTTTGTTTTTTCAATTATTTTTAACTTTTCGGGTTGGGCTGGGTATTTTGGGCCATTTGGGGTGGTTTGGGGGGTTGGGGTGGGAGGGGGGTTAATTAGGAAGAGGAAAACCAAAAAAAAATATATAATGGGCCTGGCCTGGCCCGGCCCGGCCCGGCCCGGACCGGACCCGGTGGTTACCCGGCCCGGTCCGGACCGGACCCGGTGGTTACCCGGGCCGGTCCCGGGTCCACCATTTCTGACCCGCCGGCCCGCCCGGGCCTAGGCCCGACCCGGACCCGGCCCGGACCCGAGTCCAACCCTAGGTCCACCCCTAAACCAAACTAGTTCAAATCAAACTAGACTTTAAACAAATCAGTTGAGAAAAGAAGGGAGATGGTTCTGTTACCAGCTCTTGTGTGAGTAGTCACGTGTGTGGGAGACATCAATAGAGGACTAGGGGTGGACTCGGGTCCGAGTCGGGTCCGGGTCGGGCCTAGGCCCGGGCGGGCCGGCGGTTCAGGAATGGTGGACCCGGGATCGGCTCGGACCGGGTCGGGCCTCTGATTTGATTTTTTTTTTTGCTTTCCTACCCCCCCCCCCCCCTCCCAAACCCCCCAAACCCATCCTACCCATCAAGCCCAACCCGGGTGGAACCCCAAAAATGAAAAAAAAAATAAAAAAAAAATCAATTTGGCCCGGGCCCGGGCCCGACCCGGCCGGTTCACCAAATTTGAGACCCGAGCCCGGAGCCGCCCTACCCCCCGGGCCTAGGCCCGACCCGGACCCGGATCCGAGAACCGAGCCGGTCCCGGTCCTGCGCAGTAGCGGGCCGGGTGGCCCGACCCGAGTCCAACCATATAGAGGACTGAGGATAAAAGCGAAAAGAAAAGCAACCTAAACATATAAATGTATAACATTCTATGGAACTCCACACAATCGAAAAGATTTTCAAAAGGGAGCCAATTTTTTCAGGAATCATCCTTGGGAAAACACTTCTCTTTCCAAATGGCCCCTTTTGAGAATAGATTCATAAAGGCGAAAAAACCTTAAGACACCAAAGTGAAAACAGAAAAGAAAAGCAAAGTCGGACAAAAAAAGTACTCTAGAACGTACATACCCATTCATCAAAGCTAAATACATTGATAAGCAACTAGACATTGCTTTTTGGAATAATGTATCCTCAACGAGAGACAGACAATAGAACTTTAGGAAAGAGCCTTCAAAGTTTGTGGGGTTATGTTTGAAATCAACAAGTAAGCGATCATTTCATCATAAAGTAGTTTGACATATGTAACATATTTGGCTATGCTGAAATTGACTGACTGGAGCTAGACTTTTATTAAAATCATGGCTTGGATGATTAAGTTGCCAAAAAACATTTAAAATATATTTTTAAAATATTACTTCACTACTTCTCAATTACTTGATCAAGGATAAACTGAACTCCTACATAATAATAGTTGAATAGTATTAATAACTGTGGAATAAATTCTACATATTTAGAAACATTTTTTTACTGTCTGAGAAACAGCCGAGTATGAACGAATATAGCAAAACTTAGTACATAAAACCAGATTAAAAAAAGAACAAGTTTGACTGCCTAATAATGAACGAGAAAAATAATTTGGAATAGGATATAGTATCTCAAATAGGTAGAAATGTCACACCATTCAGCTTAGCAACTCCAAACAAAAATGTACTTCATCAAAATAGCTTACATTCTGTGGGAAACAATGGTAGCTAAAGCTTCCTAAGTGTATAAATTATAGTAAGCTTAAATAAATTATCACCAACGGGCACATAATTAGCGGAAAATGAAGAGACAAAGACACAATACTGCGCATAAGAGAATATACATATAATGTTTCAGCAGCTTAAAACTTACAACATGTCAGCATGTTTTGGATTGCAGAGACATCTGTAAGAGCTTGTTAATAAAATGATACACTTTTGGTTACTACTACTAGAACAAGAGACAACATACCCTAATATTATTCTTTTTACCCAGCATTAGCCAGTGTCCACTCCGCCTCCGTCACATTGCTATCCAATGGCAAAGTCACCCCGCCATTCACAAAAGCTCGCGGCCTCTTCTTCATTGCGGCTAGTGAACTCATATCTGGTAATGAAGGGACCGAAAAGATTGCATGAGAATCGGTGCATACCTTTATTGACAGCTCTGATAGTTCTTCGCGAGCGGCTTCTAATCCCTCTGAGCTAGCAACAACAGCTGCTTGGTTGTTGAGTGACTTGCAAGCTTTATCAAGTATTGATTGCAAATATTTGCTTTGAGCTTCTATACGAAGCTGGAGACGCCGCTGTACCTATATTAATAAGAGAACCAAGCATTTGAGATAATTTTGAAAATATTGGCTTTGTTATTTGACACCCTATAATATGTGGCTCATTTACTTGCCACTCCAGTTGTGCAGTACTGCAGTCCAATTTGATCTCAAGAAATGTGTTATGTGTCTCCCATCGGATCATTACAAAATTTGTGGATAATATATAAACATGAGATAAATCTGACCACTTTGGGGATATTTTCCCTTATGACCTCTTTAACATATGATTACATTCACCTAGGAATTTGAGATAATGTTCGGTGATTACCTTTTACGTTTATTAGGTGTTGAAATATAATTATGGTAATATTTGAGACTATTCTGTCTTTGCCCATAACAATTTAACAGCATGAGTATTATGAATATCACATTACGTGAACTAAACAGCTAATCTTTTGCATTCCTGTTACCTCACATCAATTTTGAAGACCTAAGGTGCCAAGGTGGTAATAATTAGTGTTTTGTACGTACGTCAAAGTTACCTATCTCATAGGTCAAGGGTAAAAGACTAAAAGGATAGTTTTATTTTAAAGCTCTCATCGTAGCAGACAAGCAGTGAGCGTGAAAGGGATTTTAACATTTCCCTTGATAAACGATGGGCCAAACACTCGAATGCTAGAAATTTTAACCAAAGCACTCATGCTAAAATACTCACTAAAGGGATATTTTCAACTGTTATGCCAGTAGCATAACTTAGTATTTGATTATCAGGCCCAAATTGCATATAATTCGTTGGATCATGGTCCGCTGAAGAGAAAAATAAGAACATCATTTACACACCCAAGCTGCTTCTAGAAAAAAACAAGAACCATTTGGTAAGGCTTATTTGGCTGAATATGCTAAGTTGTGTCAAAAGAAAAGTCAGTAAAATTGATTTCGGCCGAGTAAGTTCGACACTATTACCCTACTTATTCTGCTTAGGCGCTTATAGTCTCATTATCCCACTGAGCAAATAAGCCAACTAAAGCTAGCAAACGGACCTAATTTTGCATGGTTAAAGAACCAAGGTAAAAGAAGTTGCCAATCGTGCCATACTAAGTGCCAGTGTGGTAGACATCATATTTTCAGCCAAAAAGCAGCTAATATTTTACCTATCATTTCCATATATAATTTAAAAAATATGCTTAAAATTCAGCAAATTCAACAAACTCAGGAAATTTAACCATTTTATCACAAATTTGCCCTGGCCAAATGGATCCTGAGTATAATAAGTCAACAGAGACACGAGGAGGGCAAAGACAAACCTCTAACTGTTCATGCAATTTTCGCTGAACCTCCATCTGTGCTCGCAAAGCCTCAGTAACCTGGTACCCACTGTTCCCCACATTTGATGATATCATTATTAACCCTATAATGCTAATATGGAAAAACCTATGTACTTTTTTGTACCAATGAATTATAGTATAGAAGAATTTACTCGTTTAGTTCTTGGGAAATCATTCTAGATGAGCCTGATGTAGGAGAACCGGTTTCGCGACTCTCAGCTGCACATATTGCTGCAATAGAAACAAAAATAATAAGAAAGAAAATCAATGAAAATGAAAGGGAACTGCCATTTTCCTTTCAGGTCGCACCATCGCACACGACAATTACGTCATTGTAGCGTTTTATCTCTGACTTCCATTATTTCCACTTTTGGAGCACGACTATAGGTTTGCCACTTTTGGTCCTTTCAGGTCACTTATCACACAAAAATCAACCTCATTGGACGGATAAGTCATGATTAGGACAAAAAGTGGCAGGAAATTCATAATCATGCACCGAAAGTGAACAAATGAAAGTCAGAGATAAAAAGTGGTTATTTTCAAATATCATTACCATCTTTAGAGTTGTCAGTTGCCTCCTTCAATGATTGCTTCCCGAGACGGTATTTCTGGAAAGAAAATGAAGGGTTAAATTTCAGTGCGAGAAGGGTACATTGAGACTATTGGTGAAAAAAAACAGTTAACAATGCCCGTAGGCCAAGAGGACTGGAAAAGTAAGACAAACCTGAAGGTGTGACTTCAAATGATATAGGGTCAGACCTTTCACCCCCATTGTCCTCATTATTGACTTTGGTGTTGCTTCTGCAAAGTCAAGCGACAAAGAACATAGTTACTAGTTGATTAGCCCATAAATTTGAAGGGGAAAATGGTATGCAAGAACATAACAGATGTGAGATGCCCGATGTGAGATGACTTAATTTTGTTAACTTAATTTCGTAGGTTTATCCACAATTCTAACATATTCATGAAGACAGAATCCTAGCTTTTATTATAGCAACTAATAAATGAACTAAATCAACATTTTGAGCATGGTTTATACACTTCAACAATTGACAAACCTAGATTTCTGGAAGTATAGGTTGAAGAAACAACACTATTACCATTAAATAATCAATGTTTGTAACACCAAAGAACTTAAATGCAACTAGCGAAGATCCCAAGTTCTGTCAACACCCAAAAACTTTGGATTGGCAATGACGAGAGACAAACAATTGAAAGTACACTTAGCTAGCATTTTGTGAAATATTGAACACAAAGCACATATTAACAGGTCTATAATCTTTAAATTTCATTAAGAACTAAATTTGGAAAAGGGTAATAAAAGGGGAAGTTATGCATTCAAAAATCAGCAGGATAAAGGCCCTACTTTGGTATAAGTACAATGTAGATTCAACAGTCCACACACCCCCCCCCCCAATGCTACTGCTGTTGATATATAAATTTGATAAAATTTCAGCCCTAATGAATACTATCTTGCATTCTTGCTAAAAATGCTAAGATTCTGATATTCTATTTAAATAGTACTCCGTAATATAGAAGCAAAGATCTCTCTAGATTTTTCATCACTGAAACAGTGCTAAAACAGTCTGCCTGGCGGTGGCCATTCTTGCACTTAAACAAAAACAAGGCCAAAAAAGAAGAGAGTTGATCCCAAACCATGAAATATATTCCATTTTAGGTTTCCACCATTTTCTCCTAAATTCAATCACAATTATCTTTACTAAAATAATACTTCGAACACCCAAACATGAATATAGAATTTCAGATTATACTCATCTGGGATGAAGTAAAGCTAAAGGGGGGAATGGAAAACAGTACCTAACCAAAGATTCAAACTTTCTATGGCCTTCATAACAGCTGAACAGCAAAAAATTAAGTAAATCTTAATCTCCAGACATTAAGATAAAAGGTCATCATATCCCTTCATTGTATGTTTTTAAGTGAAAATGAATTATTGCAGCAAAATGGCTATGCAATTAACTTTAAAAAATGAACTTTCCCTATCATGGTTTTTTTTATTATGTAGTGTTCTTCATTTCTTTGTAACATCTCAGACATTGAAAGCTTAAATAATTGACTGGACACACATCCCTATCAACTCACCCTCCAATAATGACAATAATAATTAATGCGGAGTACTTCATACTCCCTATTTGCCCATAGAGATCGAAAATGACCCTGCATTTATTACGATTCAAAGGTTGTCTTTGCCTAATCATATGAAACATAACACTCCGTACAAATCTTTAATTTTCATTTCAAGCGTAGAAAGACTTTTAGATAGAAAGTCCGGAGCTAGAGAAGAATCAAGAAAGCAAAAGAATTTTACAGTTGCAGAACCCAAGATTCCAGCTTTCTTGAAAAAACTGATAAATCCCAACAAAAATGAAATCTTTTTTGGAGAATCAACCTACAATGAAGAAATCAAAGAAATGGTAAACTGACTTTCGGGTCCGCCGAGCTGGGTGACGGCGTCGACGAAGCGCTCGTGAAGCTCGGCAGTCCAACGGAGGCGAGGCTTGGGGTCAGCAGTCAGAACAAGACAGGCATCTCCGGGAAGGTTGGTTCCGTCCAAGGACATAGCTCCCGGGTGGTTGTGATGGTGGTGGTGGTGGTGGAGGTTATAGTCTCCGCCGTCGAGACCCAAACCCCGCATAGAGTACATTTTTCACCGCAACCGAACCGGAAATAGCAGAGTTGGGTAACGTGAAACTGGAAAGGGAAGATTGAGCCTTGCCTGTTGAAGGTTGTGTGTCTTTTTGGGTTATATGAGGAGCAGCAGAGTAGGAAGAGAAGACAAGACAGCGATGTGTTGTGTTGTCTAGTGTGTGGGAGAGGAAGACTTGTCTTCTTCTCCTCTTTTTTCTTCCTTCTCTTTTTTCTCTATCACAGACTCGTTTAGTCTCATTGCTTTCTAATTCTAATCATTTTCGGCATATATTGTCAACAAAATTTTTCTTTTTGGATGAAAATTTCAATGTAACAGTCTTTGTTGTTTTTTCAAGACGGATTCAGGAAGAGAAAAAAAAGTACTTTGACGGGATACAGAACATAAGCTTGCAAAATCAAATGTAAATCATCCTCGAGGACCGAATTCATAAACCACTAGTTGTGTAATTAGGAGTAAAATTAATCTTAATAGATATATTAGCTGGTACGGTTCGATACAGTCGATGATAGTCTCGGAAAACCAATATGTATTGGGCGAATGGGCGGTGCCGTTACAAAGCAAACGTAAGAATGGCCTTGTTCCAACATGACAACATGGCAAACGTAAGAATGGCTGTATTTCAAGTTTTCAACATCGATGTTTTCGCTCGAGTTAGGGGTGTTTCAGCTGATTCTTCTTTTTTAAAGCAATCAATTTTCAGAAGCCTCGGTCATCCTGCTTCAAATAAAACTGATTTTACGGGTAAATTAAAGCACTGGAATCATTTATCCATTTTCACTCTAACACTTCAACTTTTGCTTCTGCTCCTTAAAGGAGCAGAAGCAGATTCAAGAATCAAATCCAAACATCTCTTTAATCCTATAATCGGTCACTTGTTATATGGTAGGAGCATAGTGCATCCACAACTAAATCACGCGTGAACGGTAAACCCGTGAACTGTAGTTTTTTTGTCCCAAACTCCCAATAGTAGGGTCAAGTAACTCGTGCGTAAAACAATGTAACTCACATTGATATTAAATGTAACTTCAGACAAGTAGAAATATAACTTGTCTAATACGGACTATAAGAAATAAAACATTTAGAACACGTTTGGACTTTTGGTAACACTGAAATCGATTGAATCGGTTGATTCTTCCGAAATTTACAAAGCTTTGGCTGAAGTGACTTTATTAGCTGATTCTGCTCATTTGTGAAAAAATTATATTTAAAATGTATTTTATTAATAAAAATATATAAAAATTATATGAAAAATTGCTAAAATGATCATCTACAGTAAGTTCAGTCAATACAGTCAGGAAAGTAACTTCAACCTTATTACGGAGTATTACACAATTCAGCGCGCGAATTCAAAAGTTACGTGTTCGATTAAAAAGTTGGTCGATAAACCTGATAAGACGAAAAAGGAAGTCATCAAACAGGCTCGTATTCATTGTAAACAATGCAATAATGTTTTTTTAGTCTTTTTTTGCCAAAAAACATTTTTTCCAATAGAGTTGATGATAGTCCGGATAAAGCAATATGCATTGGGTGAATGGGCGGTGCCGTTACAAACCAAATAACGTAAGAATGACCAATTGAAACATTGATGTTTTCGCTCGAGTTAATCCCTAGGTTTGGGGAAAATGGTTTGGTTTAATCGAAATGAACTAAATCGAAAATTTGTACATTGATTTGGTTTGAGTTTACTTGAGTAAATTGTTTGGTAACGATTTTCTCAAACTGAATGGTTTGATTTGGTTTTAAACCGAAAAATCGTAAATCGAATCGAACATTATTGAACTTATAATATATATATAAAAATTTTGTATTTGTCTTTACTCTTCGTCTTGAAGATATAAATAAATAATATAGATATGAAAAATATATGTTTAGCATAATATCATTTTAACTTTTACACATTTTATACATTAATTAGGAAAACCTACGGTAATATGGCATACTTGTATCTGTTATATTTTATATTATACATGTACGACATTATGTTTGGCGATGACAACATCAAATCACATTTATATTAATTTCAGTTAAACTAGACTACACTATACATGTAACTCCATGTGAATAATTTTGTGAATTTTACAACAGTTTTACCTCCGGCTCAGTTAGTTTTCTTTGATTCTTTGATAGTATTATAAATGCTAATCAACAATAATTTATTTTTTGTGTAAGGTGAATCTTTTTTCTAGTGATTGAAAATATGGTAGACGTTTTCTTGTCATAGTCTTAGCAAGATATATTAGTGTTACTTTATACTAGTACTACGTAATATTTTATTATTCTTTTTCTATCTTTTATTTCCCTTTACATTTTATTCAAAGATGTAAGGGTCAGATTGGTCCTCGAAGTTGCATAAAAATGGTCAAATAAGTCCTTTTATAGGAGGCTCTGTCCGGCCGTCGCCATTCGGGGAGGTTCCCGGTGGAAATTTTCGATGAAATTTTTTAGCATCTTATTCATTAACTCTAGTTACTCATACCAAATTTCAGCTAAAACTTCAATCGGGAAGGCATTCAAATGAAGTCTTGAAGATAACTGCGCAGTTAAAAGTGCAGTTACTTTCAAGAATTCATTTGAATGACTTCCCGATTGAAGTTTTAGCTGAAATTTGGTATGAGTAAACTAGACTTGATGAATAAGATGCTCCAAAAATTTCATCCAAAAATTCCGCTATGAAACTCCCTAAATGGCGACGGCCAGACAGTAAGGGCTTTATTTGACACTTTTTATGTAATTTCGAGGACCAGTCTAACTATTACCTCTTTATTTAAAAAATAAATACAAGAAGATGCAATGGACTACTATTTTCGTTTTCTAGTTCTAAAATAGTCAACTTGATCAAATAAAACAATAAACATATGAATGTGAATCAAATTGAACTAAATTGAATCTAATAATTTTCACTTTGGTAAACCAAACCAAACCGAAATACAAATGCTTTTAGTGTGGTACATATCTCCCAAACCTAATAAACTGAAACCGAATCAAAAAACCCGAACCGTAAACCAAATTATCCACCCCTAATCGGTATATTAATAATCTCGATCATTTGATATAGCAATGTTTTTATTTGGACTTAAATTTTGCGGTCTGGTTTGATTTAATGTTGTATGTTTAAGTGTAGTCTCTGGTTTGATAAATGCCTAGTTTATTTGTATTTATAACTGTCGAAGTTTTGATTGGTTTGATTTGTTTAAGCCTTATCTGATCTAGTCTAGATTAAAAATGACCCAAATAAAAATATCCATAATATTTATTTAGAATTGTTTAAATTGATTGAATGAATTGTGAACACAAAAGATTAAGAGGGTGTTTGGAAAATGGTCATATTGATTGAATGAATTGTGAACACAAAATATACTGTCGCTACTATGTGACAGTATATTGTCATGTTTAAAGCCTAATAATGACATGGTAAATTCTCAACATGACTGATGACAGTAACATACTCTTAGTTAGGGAAAAATATAGCAGTCATATTTTGAAATTTTCATACGTTTTTACTTTTATTCCAGAATTTTTTGTTTATTTTAATTGTAGCATAACTCAACGTGTGCTAAGTAAATTTTATTATTGTTTAAGTATGATATGATTTGATCAGTAAAATTGAAATTAGTCCAATCCGCCAAATAGGTAAATTATCAAACATCTTCTGGCAAACCGTCAAGTCGCCGACTTATTTTGTGGATATTTTTATTTGGATCGTTTTCGATCTAGACTAGATTAGATCAGGATAAATATCTCCCGGTTTCTTTGAATTAATCATGTGATCCTAATAACCACTGAAACTCGTGAGAGTAAATTTGAAATACTTGGACATTGTGTTAGATTCTAAAATAATCATGTACATACACAATTGCACAAGGTAGCCCTGGTGTCGAAAGGACTATCATTAGAGACAAGTATAACATCAGAAAAATCTCAAAAATGATTAAGAGTACTACACATAGATAAAGTGTAGCTTCCTTTAACGAATTCATACGTTGAGTGTTGGAGAGATGCCCTAGAACAAGATTATGATTTATTTATTAATGTTTAATGGTCATAAATACATGACCCACTTGTGGAATGTTTTTAAGTACAATATTCTAAGAGCATTTTCAATGCATGCACATGTGACATGAGAGAGATAAACATTTAATATTGATTTTATGACATTTCTTTCTCATTCTTTCCACGGTCTTATGTGTTTTTGGTAAGTTTTTGTTTGCATTGTCAACTACAATGTCTACATCTAGACATTGTGTTTGACATTGTGAAGAAAAAACTTACCAAAATAATGTAAGATCCTTCAAATAAGGAGAGAGATATCTTGCTTATTATTTTTAAATTGATTATTTCTCATGTCACGTATGCAGCATTAATGTTTTAGGATTTGAGATGCTCTAACTAGTCCCTCATCTAATATTAAAAAGGGAGGGACATATAGCCAAGGCGATATACATGGGATTTGATATGTACAAAAAGTATTTTTAGAGATTTTTTTATACAGATTTTTTGTTTATTAATTAAAAATAAAATGAAATTTGGGGTGGGTGGGTCGGGGAATAGTACCCCTAGCTAGTACGCGGCATACACCCCTGATTGCACTGCACATTTGCGAGGCCTTCTGAACTCAGTTGAGCTAGATTAATAAAATGTTTAGGGTTTAGTGTTCAAATTCAAGTGTGCTAATTTCCATCCTATACCTTACTATAAGGGTGAGTCCATGATTTGCAATAGAGTCAAAGAATCATTATTTTTAGCTTAGAAATGTGATGGAATAAAACAAAATGATTCACTAAAATGTCTGCGCTTCTTTGTTATGAAGCAACAATCGATTCATGCGATTTTTGACGTAATTTCATTATGGGTCATCCGGAAACAATCTTTTGATGCTTTAGTGTAGGGGTAAGACAACGTACATCCCACCCCCCTTACCCCACCATAGGTAATGATGATGACCAAATTATAAGGGTGAGTGTAATTTACACAAAAAGATCAATATAATATTTTTATCCTTAAATATTTTCTCTACACCTTCAATCCTTCATATGTTAGTTTACTCACAAAAAGCTAAGTGATGGAAATGATTTGATACAATCTAGTCTCAATTGGTCTAGTTTTATCATGCTGCGTCTAGTGTTGGCTGATATGTTAGGATGTTTTTATTTGGACCGTAATTCCTGCCAAACCAGATCAGATCAGATCAGACCAGATCAGTTCAGACCAGACCAGATTTGGATAATTATAAAAGTACAAAGAAACCAGACCAGCAAATTACAGTCCAAGTAAA